ACTGTCATGGTGGTTGATGTTGTCTTTGTTCTTATCACTATTGTTTTGCTGTTATTGTGATTCTTGCTGTAATTGTTATTACTGTTACTGTTATTGTTATTATTGCTATTGTTACTGTTATTGTTACTGTTATCATTATCGATGTTATTGAACTTATTATTGTTATTTTTATAGTTATTGTTATTATGGCTACTATTACTCTGGTTATTGCTATTATTGCTTCTATTGTTATTGTTACTCTTATTAATGTCATTGTTATTGTTATTTGGTTGTTATAATGGCTATTATTATTGTTATTGCTATGATTGCTGTGATTGTTGTTGTTCCCATTGTTACTGTCCTTGTTATGGATGATGTGTGATTGTTATTGTTATAGTTATGATCGCTGTTATTGTTACTCATACTATGATTGTTGTTATTATTGCTATTGTTATTCATGTCATTGTTGTTGTTAATACTGTTATTGCTCTTATTCTCACCTTGACCCAGTTGATTCCCAGCCCTCAGCCCCACCCTGGCCTTGAAGAGCGAGAGACTGAGCTATTCTCAGCACAGCCTGATATTTTTAGACCCAAGGCAGATCACCCACCGTCTGCAGCACCAGAGGACACAAAACAAAATGGAACAAATCCCACAGGCAGAGGGGGAGAGGAGGGGCCTGGGCAGGATATAACAACCATCCATCCACCCACCCATCCATCCACCCATCCATCCACCCATCCATCCACCCATCCACCCACCCATCCATCCAACCATCCACCCATCCATCCAATCATCCACCCATCCATCCACCCACCCATCCATCCATCCATCCATCCATCCATCCACCCATCCATCCACCCATCCATCCACTCATTAATCCACCCATCCACCCACCCATCCATCCATTCACCCATGCGTCCATCCACCCATCCACCCACCCCTCCATCCATCCATCCATCCATCCATCCATCCATCCATCCATCCATCCATCAACCCATCCACCCATCCATCCATCCATCCACCCATCTACCCATCACCCATCCACTGTCCACCCATCCACCCATCCACCCATCCATCTATCCATCCGTCCACCCATCCACCGGTCCACCCATCCACCCATCCATCCACCCATCCATCCATCCACCCACCCATCCACCCATCCATCCATCCATCCACCCATCCATCCATCCACCCATCCATCCACCCATCCACCCACCCATCCCCATCCATCCATCCATCCATCCATCCATCCACCCATCCATCCATCCATCCATCCACCCACCCATCCATCCATCCACCCACCCATCCATCCATCCATCCACTCGTAACTCAGTGAGGCACTTCCTGTGTTCATTCCCTTTATTTCCAGAGGTCAGGGAGGCCCTGGGATGGGTCAGGTCTTGGCCTTGTGTCCAGTGTCCTTCTGTCTGTCTGTCTGTCCGTCCGCAGGTCAGTTGAAGGCGGGCAGGCCGAAGAGCTTGGGTTGTATGTCACCCAAGGAGGGCAGCAGCAGGGTGGCCCCGGCCGTTGAGTTCGGGGTCGAGCTGGACGCTGGGCACCATGACCACCTGCATCCCCGCTGCCCGGGCGACCGCCATGCCGTGGGGCGTGTCCTCCAGCACCAGGCACTGCGGGGTCAGAGGGCGAGAGAGACACGTGGAGTGAGAGGTCGGCCGGGGGGTGGGCCGGGTCCCCAGTGTTGGAGGGAAGGAAGGGGGGAAGGAAGGAAGGAAAGAAGGAAGGAGGGAAGGAGGGAAGGAAGGAAGGAGGGAAGGAAGGAAGGATGAAAAGGAAGGATGGAGGGAAGGAACAAGAAGGAAGGAGGGAAGGAAGGAAGGAAGGAGGGAAGGAAAGAAGGATGGAGGGAAGCAAGGAAGGAGGGAGGGAAGGAAAGAAGGATGGAGGGAAAGAAGGAAGGAGGGAGGGAAGGAGGGAAAGAAGGAGGGAAGGAAGGAGGGAAGGAAGGAGAGAGGGAAGGAGGGAGGGAAGGAAGGAGGGAGGGAAGGAAGGAAGTAGGGAAGGAAGGAAGTAGGGAAGGAAGGAGGGAGGGAAGGAAGGAGGGAGGGAAGTAGGGAAGGAAGGAGGGAAGGAGGGAAGGAAGGAGGGAAGATGACCGTTGAGCCACGGCGTGCCTACTGGCATGTTCTCTGTGTGATTTCGAGGCCTCCCCCACCCAGGGCCTGGTGTGGGCCAGGTGAGCACTGTGCCAAGGAGTCTCCCTCCCTGTTCCCCTGGGGCCGTCTGTCCATCCGTCTCTCCATCCGTCCATCCGTCTGTGTGATTGTGTGTTTGTCCGTGTCTCTCTGTCTGTCTCTGTGTGTCTGTCTGTCCCTATATCTGTCTGTCTGTGTCTCTGTGGTCGGTCTGTCTGTTCTGTTCTGTGTATCTGTCTGTCTGGACTCTTATGTCTGTCTGTCTGTCTCTGTCTGTGTGTCTATGTGTGTCTGGCCATGTGTCTCTGTGTCTGTCTATCTGTGTGTGTCTGTCTCTGTATCCGTCTGTCTGTCTATATGTCTATTTGTGTGTCTCTGTAGTCTGTCTGTCTGTGTGTCTGTCTGCGCATGTATGTCTATCTCTCTGTCTATCGGTGTGTGTCTGTCTGTCCGTGTCTCTGTGCTCTGTCTGTCTGTCTGTCTGCTTGGTCTGTGTATCTGTGCGTCTGTCTGTGTCTATCTGTCTGTCTGTGTGTCTATCAGTGTGTCTGTCTGTCTGTGTCTCTGTGGTCTGTCTGGTAGGTCTGTGAATCTGTGTGTCTGTCCCGTCTCTTGTGTCTGTCTGGTCTCTGTGTCTGTGTGTCTATCTCTCTGTCAGTGTGTCTGTCTGTCTATCAGAGTGTCTGTCTGTCCGTGTCTCTGTGGTCTGTCTGTCTGTCTATGAGTCTGTCTCTGTGTCTGTGTCTCTATCTGGTTTGTCTGCCTGTCGGTCTGTGTGTCTATCTGTCTGTCTGTCTGTCTGCATGTCTGTCTGGTTTGTCCATGTGTCTATCTGTGTCTCTGTGTCCGTCTCTGTGTCTATCTGTGTGTCTCTGTGTCTGTCTGTCTGTCTGTCTGTCTGGTCTGTGTATCTGTGTATCCGTCCATGTCTGTCTGTCTGTGTGTCTCTCTGTGTGTGGTCCATGCAGTGGACCCAAGGCCCGAGGCCTCGGTTTACCTGGTTGACGTGGGGGTGGGGGAATGAGGAGAGAACCTGCAGGTGCAGGCCAGGAAGATGTCCGGAGAAGCTGCGGGCGCAGGCCAGGAAGATGTCTGGGGCGGGCTTGCTGGCCTTGACCTCGGGGTCATCACCCAGCACCACGTGGTGAAAGGCACCGAACAGCTCCCGGTGTGCACTGGTCTTGGCCTGGTAGGACTCAGTCCCTGAGCTGGTGGCCAGGGCGAAGGGGATGCTGTGCTTCTGCAGGTGGAGGATCAACTTCTCTGCACCTGGAGACAGAGAGACAGGAGGAGAAGACCTTAGGTCTTTGGTGGCCTAGGGGGGAAATCCACAAATCCATCCATCCACCCATCCTTCCATCCATCTACCCATCCACCCATCCATCCACCCATCCATCTATCTATCCATCCATCCATCCATCCAGCCACCCATCCATCCACCCATCCATCTATCTATCCATCCATCCATCCATCCATCCACCCATCCACCAATCCATCCACCCATCCATCAATCCATCAATCAATCCATCTACCCAGCCAGCCACCCATCCATCCACCTACCCATCCATCCATCCATCCATCCATCTACTCATCCATCCACCCACCCACCCATCATCCATCCATCTACCCAGCCAGCCACCCATCCATCCATTCATCCATCCACCCATCCATCCATTCATCCATCCATCCATCCACCCACCCACCCATCTACTCATCTATCCATCGATCCATCCATCCATCGATCCATCCATTGACCCATCCATCAACCCATCCATCCACCATCCATCCATCCATCCATCCATCCATCCATCCACCCATCCATCCATCCACCCACCCATCCATCCATCCATCCATTCATCCACCCATCCATCCATCCATCCATCATCATCATCATCATCATCATCATCATCATCGTGACCCAGGAAGGATGTGAACTCCGGGCATCATCATCATCATCATCATGGTGACCCAGGGCGTTTCCCAGGGCGACCGGCTGGGCCACATGCACACACACGCACGCACACACGTGTATGAGCAGATGACATCTTGTCCCGAGCACTGGGCAGCGAGTCCTAGATAGGGTGGTGGAGACGGCACCGCGTTCTAGAAGGTTCTGAATCCAAGGGTCATGGCAGATGGACCGGTGAAGTCTAGGATGTACACACACACACACACACACACACACACACACACACACAAAACGGCCCGGGGAAAGGAGATGGTTCTAGAAAGTTTGTCCCTTTTCAGAGTTCTTCACCCAGACAGACAGACTGACAGATGGATAGATGGATGGATAGACAGATAGGCGGATGGATGGACAGACAGACAGACTGACAGATGGATGGACAGATGGGCGGAAGGATGGACAGACAGACAGACTGATACATGGATAGACGGATAGACAGATGGGTGGATGGATGGACAGACAGACAGACTGATAGCTAGCTAGATGGATGGATCGATGGACAGACAGACAGACTGATACCTAGATAGATGGATGGATGGATGGACAGACAGACTGAAAGATGGATAGATAAGATGGATAGACAGATGGGTGGATGGATGGACAGACAGACAGACTGATAGATGGGTAGATGGATGGATGGACAGACTGACAGATGGATAGATGGATAGACAGATGGGCAGATGGATGGACAGACAGATAGATGGATAGACAGACAGACTGACAGATGGATAGACAGATAGACAGATGGGCAGATGGATGGACAGACAGATGGATAGATGGATAATAGATGGATAGATGGATGGATGGACAGACAGACAGACTGACAGATGGACAGATGGATGGATAGACAAATGGACAGAAGGATGGACAGACAGGCTGATATGTGGATAGACAGACAGACGGATGGATAGATGATAGATACACAGATAAGATACATGAATAGATGGATAGATGGATGGATGGTTGGACAGAGAGATGTATAGATAGACACACAGACAGACAGATAGGTGGATAGATATAGTAGATAGATAGACAGACAGACATGTGGATAGACAGATGGATGGATGGATCCATGAATGGACAGACAGACAGAGAGTAGATAGACAGACACCTGGATAGACAGAGGGATGGATGCATAGATGGACAGAGAGACAGATAGACGGGTGGATAGATGGGTGGATAGAAGGGTGGATGGATGGATGGGGGATGGGTGGGTGGATGGGTGGATGGATGGGTGGGTGGATGGATGTTGATTGAATATGGATGGGATTAACATTTACACACTTGAGTGACTTGGACCCAAGTCCTGATACAATATGGGTGGGATTAACGTTTGCACACTTCAGTGAGTTGGACCCAAGTCCTCATCTGGATGGAGGACAGACAGAAGGGATTAACATTTGCACACTTGAATGAGTTGGACCCAAGTCCTGCTGCTGATGGAATATGGAAGGGATTAACATTTGCACAGTTGAGTGACTTGGACCCAAGTGTTCATCTCAATGGAGGATGGATGGATTGGTGGATGGGTGGGTGGATGGATGAGTGAAATGGATGGATGGATGGGTGGATGGATGGATGGATGGGT